TATAAACCTTGCTTCACCTTGACAACCTGGAAAGCAGTTTCAAATAATTTAGAATTCTTAACCTCCTTGGAGTTCTGTGCCAGAAAGACCAGCCCAGTCCTCGCCAGGAGCCCACACCACATCCAAGCTCTTTCCAAACTCGATGCAAACATCTGCCCCATGGCCACCTCACAGGATAGGGGTGTGTACGAGGGCAGGCCCAGGGACGGGTCCACAGGGGCCCCGGGAGTGGGAAGTTTAGAGTCTGGGGACGGGGTTCCAGGTGAGCATGTGGAACCTGGAAACTGCTGATAGTTCTCAGGCCGGACTGAATGCAGCCCTCAGCCTGCCACAGGGTAGATGTGCCCCATGTTTTGAGGATTTGGGGAGACTGTATCCACTAATTTTTTGTCTGTGCCTGGAAACTGCATAGAGCCCTTAGGTTGCTCAGCGCTGGGGCCCTTCTCAGGTCCCCGTCAGCCCGTCACCCTCTTTCTTGCAGCAGCCCCCAGACTGCTTTCCGTAGATAACGAAACTGCCCTCTGTCTGGTTTGCTTCTCCGAGACAAAGCTGCGGAGGAAGAGCCAGGCCTCTCAGCGGCTCCCCATCTGGCCTTGAGGCTCCTGGGGCACATTTAAGGGTTTTCATTATCGGCTTCATCTGGTTTGACTGCAGAGGCCATGGGTCAAGTTCACCAGCCCTTACGTCCTTCTAATCACTCTCGGTGCCCCTTGACCCTGTGTGCAGTGTCTTCAAGGCCCTTCCAGCCTGATGGACAGCCAGCTGGCTAGGACCCATCTTACCCAGGAACACTCATTTCTTGCTGCCTGTGATGTCCGCCCACAGCAACAAGATTCTACTATAAGAAAAGTGTCAGGTGACATCTTGGAATGACTCTCTGTCCCTCCAGTGCTGGCGTACGTGCCCCAGGGCATGCAGCATCTCGGGAGGGACTGAAGTTCTCTAGAGAGAAAACTGCCAGGCAAGGCCTGAGGCTGTGGGGAGTGCTAGGGAGTGCTCATGGGGAGAGAGAACACTGTAGTTACTTGAGGTGTTTAGCCCACATGTCCCAGGCACTGGGTTAGGCCCTGGAAGTGGGGAGAGCCACTTGGAGGAGGTACAGGTCCCAGAGGCAAGTGCTGTGGGGTGAAGGATGAGTTGGAGAGGTTTTGCCAGCCAGGGCCCTGGGATGGGCACTGTTTGGTGTAGGGGGCACTGAATGGGGGGTCTTGAAGGTCTGAGGTTTATTCTAATGAGGGGTAGTCTTGTATGGTTTGGGCAGGCTCCTGACCTCAGACTGGCTTTCAGACACATCACTTTAGTGTCTGTGGAGGAGAGCCTGGGGCAGGAGGAGGTGGGTTAGGGGAGGGGCAGAATTCTGCCGTGTTGCACCAGTCCTTGCTTGCTGATTATAACATCCCTCCCCCTCTGCAGCCTCCCTTTCAAGAAGCCGGGCCGTTTGCTGCAATGTCATGGTCCTCAGGCCCGGGTGCCCTGCACTGGCTTCACAGATAACAAAGCCACTCGGAGAAACCAGGGCTGGCCCCTGAGCACAGCCGCGCCTCACTCTCCTTCCTTCCCCTTCCAGGTGGAGAAGTCCCTGCAGCGCATTCAGAACGGGCAGCGCAATGCCATGTACACATCCCAGCAGAGTGTGGAGAACAAAGTGGGTGGCATCCCCGGCTGGCAGGCCCTCCTCACCGCCGTGGGCTTCCGGCTGGACCCCCCAGCCAGTGGCCTGCCAGCAGCCGTCTTCTTCCCAACCTCTGACCCAGGCGACCGGCTGCAGCAATGCAGCAGCACCATCCAGTCCCTGCTGGGTGAGCTTGGGCAGGAGGGGCTGACTGACCGCTTGGGCAGAGGGGTCAGTGGCCGTGGCCCCTGCACTCACCAGGATGCCGGGTCTCATCGCTGGGAAGGAGAGTGTTGAGAAATGGCCGAGTCCCGGACACAGACTTCTGATTTAGAGGAAACTAGTGCTCTTGACCTGACCGTTTGATTGGCAATGGCAAGGCATTCTTTGCCATAGGGTACTGCCCTGGCTCTCCCTCTTCCTGAGGTAATGGTGGGTGAATAGCAGCCCCTGTTAATATTTAATCAGCAGCTTTGGATCTGAGAGCCATGCAGCCTCCCCAGGTGAAGTGGGTGCAGAAGCTCAGGGCTGCCCTTTGTGCATCACTCAGTGGGTGATGCTGCCGGAGTAGCTGAGACGGGGTTCTGGAAATGTGACCCTGCACCTGGAGGACTGCAGTAGGGTCAGGACTGGTGCTTGCCCCCAACCTGCCTTTCTGGGAGCCCGTTCTCTGCTGTCAGACATGGACGTGCAGGGCTGGCTGTCCTGAAGGCCACCAAAGCTGAGCTCTCCTCTGGGAAGGCAGCGGGACTGTGGGTTCAGAGGTCCCTCTGGGTAACACCCATCTCCCTCTTCTCGGTGTAGGTCTTCCCAACCCTGCCCTCCAAGCCCTCTGCAAGCTCATCACTGCCTCGGAGACGGGCGAGCAGCTCATCAGCCGGGTGAGTCGAGCTAGGACGGCTGAGCCCAGGTCTGAGGGCACCATGCCGCGTTAGAAAGAGGGTGACTTGGCCCTGAATAGGGATTTGCAAGTAAAGTCGTCCACTTGTTTTTTTCAGCCTTTGTGATTAGAAGGAAGAGGCAAAAGCTGGAGTAAGCATGTGCTAGACACAGAGGGGCGCTGAATCCCAAGAGCTTAAGGGCCTTCAGAGGACACTCCAGGGGCTGCTGTCACCTGTAATCGCAGGGCATTTTCTGAACTCTCCCTTCAGTGGCCTCCTGCACCTTGTCATCCCACCCGTTCTTCCCGCTGACTGACAAGTGTTAAACAGCCACCTTCCCGAAGCCGGCAGGTGTGGGGCCAGCCTGGCTCCAGGTGCTCCAGTACTTATTCTCAGATCAAAGTATGAACTACACTTGAAACAAAATAGCCACTAAGGCAGGCAGTCATCCCAAACAGCTCTATTTCAAGGAACCACTTAGCAGGTTTTTAAAAATGTGCTTCCTATTGAGGCAGTGTAGATCTACTTCAGGTATCGGGAGGATGCTGACTCTCAGAGCTTCTAATCTTCCTACTGGCTACAAGGTCTGGCACAAGTCTCAGGATGACAGCCATGGGTACGAGGGCTTCTGGAGGAAGCAGCAACCCTGAAGAGCACGGAAGAGTTTTCTCTGGTCCACCTGAGTATAATAATTTGAAAAAATAACATGCATTATTACACATTTATCAGCAGGTATCACTTTAGGCAGAAATATTTCTACATGGAAATCAAGCTCCTACTGTTAGAATTAACCTCTGAAAATCTGTGGTGCCTGGAGCCTCCACATATGTGAGACTGTTTGCAGCCTGGATTTGAACATAGCTCAGTGGTCTGGCTCCTTCACTGAATTCCTACTCATTTTGTAGTAAGTTTGTTACATCTGCTTTTACACAGAATCAGGACCACACTGTGCAGTGCTGCACATTAAAGTGAACCCGGTGGGCCAGAAGTCTTGCTCTAAAGAGAGAAAGTTAGAATTACACTTGCAGGACAAGGCAGAGTCTAGTTGCTTAATTTCTTGCTTTCGGTGGCAGCACAGGGACTTCCCTGATATCCGTCCTGGCCCGCCCACTGTGGCTGGTGGACACTTCCTGAGTCACTGTGGACTTTGGTTTACAGAGTGGCCTGTTCATACCCACTGTGCCCCTTCCCCACTTGAGTCTGACCTGCCCTGCTGCTCTCCTGGCAGGAAGGGCAGGACCTGGTTGACCCTGAGCCCCTTGACCCCGAGTGCTTCTGGTCTGGGTGTGGCTGTTCATGTTCCTGTGTGTCCCTGCTGACTCTTGCTCCTCTCCCCTCCCGGTCAGAGCCTCAGGCCGGTATGGCGCTTCCTAAAGCAGTGATCAGCTCGTGTTGCATAACAACCTGTGCTTGAGTCTAAACTGTCTCTTTCTCTCTCTTTTTCTTTCTTTTTCTTATAATCTGCTGGCCGAAGGCTGTTAAAAATATGGTTGGAATGGTGAGTACTACTTTAAG